ACTGGGCAGCCTCCTCAGACAGGCCATCACTGTGCTCAACTGCAAGCAAAGAGATTTTTTTTCCTCATGTATAGAATTGAAATTTCCCTTGATGTCACATGTGACTGTTTCATCTTGTCTTTTGCCCTAATTTTCTGTACTTCTGGGGGTCTAGTTAATGTTAACCTCCAAACAGACAGATGAAGGTAGCAATCAATGTCCCCACTTAGCTTTCACCTCTGAGAACAAGCACAACAATCCCAGATCCCTGACCCTCCTCCTATGCCATGTGTTCCAGGCTTCTTCTTTTCCTTTCTTTGTTTGCTGTATCCGTATGATATGTCTTGGGTTTTACAGAGAACGGGGGGACTGTTGGGACAGGTGGTACATAACATGAAGGGATCATCATGGCTAGGCTTTGCAAACAAAGATTTGGGAAGGGCTCTACCTACATTTGCTACAAGTGCTCTGGTGGCTAAAAAGGCCAATATGAGATAGACAAGTCCGGTTGCAAAAGGCACAGCAGAAGGACTCCTTAGGTGGTATCGGCAAGACACGATTCTTTCTGCGTTGTCTTTTCTCCTCAAGAGTGATCCTGCATGCATTCTCAAAAGAAGCAGCAGCGTTATGGATTGTGTGTCTCCAGACCTCCCGATTGGAGGCCAGAGTAGACCAGTTATGTTGATCAATTTGGCCAAGGCTGAGATGTTGTTTCAGGGAGTCCTTGTATCTTCTCTTTGGGGCTCCTCTCTTGTGGCAGCTAGTGGCAAGTTCACCATAAACCACGATCTCAGGGAGGCGGTAGTCTTTCATCCTTGAGAGCACGCAGTTGTGTTCTCAGCAACGTGGCCTCAATACTTGTAACCGCTGCCTGTTCTAGAACAGATGTATTGGTCACATAATCTGACCAGTGAATGTTTAGGATTGTATAGAGGCAGCGTTGATGGAAGCGTTCTAAGGATCACAAGTGGTGGCGGTAGATGACCCATGATTCAGATCCATATAAAAGAGTAGACAGCACAATGGCTCTGTAAACACTGATCTTGGTACTTTTCTTCAAGTGTTTATTTCGCCAAACTCTTTTATGGAGTATTCAGAAAGCACTATGTGCCTTTGCTTTTGCTGTTGTTATCTCTCTGTCATATGAAGGGATAGGGTGCTTTTAAATTAATAAAGACTACTAACAGTGCCAGACATCCTTAAGAAATGGTCCTTAACAACAAGTGTGAGAAATTAATTCTCGGGTGCAAACAGGGCAAAATTTTATACCTGAGTTTAAAATACAGTAATATGATAAGTGTTAGCAACTTCACTAGATTTCTTTTTGGTCACATAAAAAGGCAGTGCTGTGTAGCAATTCCTCGTTCATATAAGAATACTACAATATTCTCATGTGCCTCGGAGTTAAAAGTCAAATAAGGTAAACATCACCAAAGGTTGCAGAAAGCAGTGTGACTCTTATTTTGCTTATGGGTATGCTGGGATTTGGAAAAATTACAGGACCTGCTAAATTTTAAGTGAGCAATTCTCAAACTGAAGATTTATGGACTTGAATCATGTTTTGCAGGAGTGCAAGAAGGCCCATGGAAACTTACTCTGATCTTTTGGATTTTGTTTTCTCTTCTGTGCTTTCACTCTTTACATCTAATGAAGTCCCTCTAAAAATTCTGGGTCTTTTCCATTATACCTGTAAGACTAAAGGACTGAGGAGGAGACCAGGTAAGACACAAAACTATTATAGAAAAGGGAATTTAATAAAAATGTTAAAAAAACTAAATTCCTGCTGAGACTTAATAATAACTTGCTATTTTCTTTTTTGTTCTTTTATTCAAAACCAGACTCTTGTGGCATTAATAACCCCCCCAGCTGATCTGTGCTAGATAAATGTTTTCAGTGTACTAGGATGTGCTGCATAAATTCTTTTTAGCAGTAAAGTGCATAACTGTTTTATGATGCTTATGTTACAGAGCAAGAGCGAAATGAGTTGTTAGAAGAAACAAATTGGAAAGTCAAATAGAAACAAAGGTAGGGTACTGTACTTAAAAAATAACAACACTCTTTCAGCACAATATGGAGAACATGCAATATTGGGTAGTCCTCTTTCTTGTTCCCATGAAAACCTGAAAATAAGAACAAGGAAGGAACACTAACTTGAAAGAGCTAGCCTAGAGAGGAAAGCTAGAGGATTGCGTGACCTGCTCAAGGAGCTTCTGCAGGAGAGGAGGAAAAGCAGAAAAGTGCAACAGGACTGTCCAGTGGCAGACCAGGAGGATGAGTGCCTTTCCACCTCGCAAGTTTTGAGACGACTGGTGTCCCAGACATCAGAACCAAAGCACATGCAGTACTAGCCCATTTGTCCAGGCTACTCAGCTTTTAGCTGTAGGTTATCATTAAATACTAGAGCTGGCATCTAAAGTCACAGGCTATGGGAGGAATTGCACCCTTAGGCTACATGCAGAATGACAGACTGCCTGACAACCCACTGAGGGTTGTGCTCTGAAACAAACTAATAGAAAACATCATATTAGTGGGTTATTTCCTTTTCATTGTCCTCCATTCTTCATTTTCCCTTTTGGTACCCTAATTTTTTCTCTACCTTTATTTTCCAATTAACGCAAATTAGTATCTTTGCTTCTCCACTTTGATGTTTTAAGCTATTTAGTCTGATTTTAGGATCAGACTGGATTAGGGACTTCTTTATCTGTCTTCAACACTGTATGTCTTTCCACCCTGAGCTGTGGTCCACTGCTATTATCCACCCAGAGTTAAAGGTTAGCTTTTGGCTTTAGCACAGGTGTATACTTCACAGACTCATAGAATGGTTTAGGTTGGAAGGGACCTAAAGATCAATCAGTTTCAACCCCCCTGTCATGGGCAGGGACACCTTCCACCAGACCAGGTTTCTCAAAGACCTATCCAGCCTGACCTTGGACACTTCCAAGGACGGGGCATCCACAGCTTCTCTGGTCAGCCTGTTCCAGTGCCTCACCACCCTCACAGCAAAGAATTTTTTCCTAATATCTAATCTAAACCTACTCTCAGTTTGAAACCATTCCCCCTTTTCCTGTCATTACATTCCTTTGCAAAAAGTCTTTCCCCATTTTTCTTGTAGCCCCCCCTTTAGGTATTGGAAGGTGCTATAAGGCCTCCCTGGAGCCTTCTCTTCTCCAGGCTGAACTGCCCCAGCTCACTCAGTTTGTCTCCATAGGAAAGATGTTTGAATTTCTGATTGTCCTCGTGGTCCTCTGGACTCACTCCAGCAGGTCCCCATCCTTCCTATGCTTGGGGCCCCAGAGCTGGACTTCCTCCAACCATCTGCTTGGTGATCACACCCAAAAGATATCTATGTTACTTGGATCAGCTGGTTAAGCCTGTTTGAGTTCAGTGTTGCCTTAAGTAAACTTTGTCTTGACTTTTAGCATGTGCTGTGCTTTACTGCATACTTGTCATGTATGTACAACAGTGTACACATCACTGCTGTTAAATTAATGATCACCTGCAAAGTCTTAAAGAAGAAATTATTTGAGTAAAGTAATGCAGTTAGGAAAAGCCTAATACAGATTTTATTGTACAGGCCCATCATTGCTCTCTACACATAAACTAACCATGTGATCACTGACTTACCTTTTTTCTTTGTGTTTCATATCTCCTCTTCAGGGTTCAGAGAACCTCTCCAGGGTTTAGGTACCACACTTCATCCAAATCTTCTACTGAATACATCTTGTTAGTTATTGTAACATCTTGTGCATCACCACATGTCTGGCCCTTTCTATGATGCTTCTCATTTAATAAAAACCCTGCCAGATTATTTTCAGGTCTTTGTGGTTCTCTCTCCTTAACTATATGGATTTAAGCCTACACTTACATTAACTTTGTGTGGGCGATTTGCTATGACCTAAACCTTGCTTCAAAATATTTTAACTATTTATGTTTCTCAGCATGAGTTATATAGTAATGGTTATATGGTATATCCAACATCTCCTGGGATATAGGTCTCTGTCAGCTCTTCCACTCACCTCTTTTCCCATGTAACACACAGAACAAAGCAGGTGAATAGTGCTTGCATTGTCTCCTGGTATGCAAATTTGACCCAAAATACCAACTTGTAGCAACCAAGGGCGCTGAGCTCCTATTGCTTACGGAAGTTAGTGCTTTTCTGTCCACTTCCCTGCTTAGTTATCCTTTGTTGGAGACTTTAGTGTAGAATCTGTTTATTGAAGGGCTGAGTGGAATGAAAGCCTTTTTCTGATGACTTAGGCAAGCTGAAGTCTGCAGTCTCTTGATTACAGATTCTCCAGGCTCTGCCTTTATTCTAATTAACATAAGCTGCAAACAAATATTTATTGAGTTCTGGATTTTGTTAGTTCTTGGCATCTGAGAGTGTTCTCCTATTCAATGCAATTCTATCCTCCACTTTGGTCAACTTCTCCAAGCAAAACTTTCTCCACCCTCACCTGTTGCTTTTCCTGTGCAATGTCACTCCTCTTCTGAGGTTCCTTTCTGAATGTGCACATGAGTGACCCTTTTGTATTTGCTGCCACCTTCTTTCTTTGCCCAGTGCAAACAGACAACACAAATTATTTTCCAAATATCTTATTGTTGCCTTTCTGACTGCCAAGGTTGGCTAATAAGCAGTGATTAAAAACCAGTTTGACCACATTACGGGGTGATTCTGCACATTGCTTGGAGCTGTGAGATGATGTGGGTACTGGGTAGGCTTCTTGATGCTCTACCTGGCCTTCCTACCATCCTAATTGCCCTGGGAACTTGACAAGAGGTGTTGTCAACTTCCCTTTCAATATATCAGTGTGTGCAAGTTCCCTGGAGGGACCTAAGTGTAGATTTATCTTTGGGGAAATATTATAACCTGAATGTGTCAGCTTTTACTCAACTTGCTTTGTGTGAGCTAATGGGTGAAAGGAGTGCGTGTTAGTTTAGCAAAGAAATTAGAAAGTGTACAACAAGGTTCTAAGTGAGAATAAAAAAATGAAACACCAATGATACACCATTCTAAAACCTACTTATGAACACATTTTCTCTTATATTCATGTAGTCTTTCAGCAATGTCTCAAAAATGGAACAAGCAGAAATGTTCAAATGTGTCTCTTCTCACTCTTCTGTGCTGGGAGCTTGCATCACTGTCTACAAACTTTCACTATGTTCTTCAGTTAGTACATTTCTATTATGTTAGGCAGCTTATTATCCAAGACTGTTTCACAACTTAGGTAACATTTGATACATTTACTTCTTCATTGTATCAGGTTGGGTATTTTCCAGACACCAGTGATGGGCTAAAAGTACAATAGATAACATAAGATGTAAAAGTGCATTTTCTAAACCACTTTCTTTCTCCCTCTTTATTAGTTGTAGGAGCTCCGGGTACCAAATCCACATGGGATGGCAGGAGCAGGGTGGGAATGTAGCAGAGCAGGGAAAAACAGTAGTAGGAAGAGTACTCCGATACCTGAAAGAATGCAGATCATGTAACTTTTACAGAAATTCCTATGTCTACCCTTTCTGGTAAAAGCTGAACTCTCTGGATCCCTGAGCAATGGGATTTATCAATCACTTGGACCCTTCCCTCTGTCCCTCTGTCTAGCCATATTAATAGTTCTGCTAGTGGTAGACTTACTTTCCTCTGCCAAAGTACTTCTTTAAGTCAAGCCTGATGTGATCCACACATCACCTCAAATATCACAGCAATAAAGGTGGTGGAGCAAAAGTCACTGTCAAATACCATGGAGTGGATTTTGGAGAGGAGAGCACCAATAGATGTAAATGTGCTGATTTTACTAAGATTGGGCCCTGAAGTCTTCTTACAGTATTGCTCCTTCTATACCTGGTTGAATGCCCTTCCCTTGTACTTCTGGAGCTATTATGGAGTCTCTTGTCCTTTGTTATAGCTTTGAAAAGGAGGTAAAGGATACATTTCTCACTTTCTGTACCCAACAGTTAATAAATGTGTTGTGAATATATATACTTTTTGTGTCTTCAGTGTAACACTGGGCTGGTATCTTTATGTGCTGGTTTTGGCTGGGGTGGAGTTAATTTTCTTTAGCTACTATGGAGCCATGTTTTGGATTTGTTCTGAAAACAGTGTTGATAATATTCCACACTATGGAATGCTCACGCTCAGCATATAAAGCTGTGGTGAGAAGAAGGAAGTGAGAGGACATTTAGAGTGATGGGATTTGTGTTCCCAAGTCACTGTTAGGCGTGATGGAGCCCTGCTTTCCTCGAGGTGGCTGAACACCTGCCTGGTCACAGGAAGCAGTGAATTAATTCCTTGGTTTGCTTTCCTGTGCATACAGTTTTTGCTTTCCCTACGGTTTAATAGGCAATAGTAATAACTTGGTTGACAATTCAGTCCTTATCTCAACCCACGAGTTTTCTCATTTCCCCGATTCTCTCCCCGAGCCCGCTGAGGAGAACGACCATCAGAGGGAGCTCAAGCACTTCGGCGACGAAGGGACGGGGAAAGGACAGGAGGAGGAACGCACTAACTACTCGCTTTTAATTGGAATCAGAGGGTGTAGTGGCAGCAGCAGCCGCCGCGGAGAGAACAGCGATACCCTCTGCCGGCAGGGAGGCTCCTCCGGAATGCCACCTGGAGCCCTTTTGTTTCACAGAATCAGAGGATCGTGAGGGTTGGAAGGGACCTCTGGGAATCACTCAGTCCAACCCCCTGCCAAGGCAGGGTCACCTGCAGCAGGGACACAGGGACGTGTCCAGGTGGGTTTGGAACGTCTCCAGAGAGGGGGACTCCACGCCCTCCCTGGGCAGCCCGTTCCATGCTCTGCCACCCTCAATGTAAAGAAGTTCTCCCTCATGTTGAGGTGGAATTCTTGTGTTTTAGTTTACGCCCATTGCTCCTCATCCTGTCTCTGGGCATCAATGAAGAGAGCCTGGCACCATCCTCTGATAGGCGCCTTTGAGATATTTATATGCATTAACGAGATCCCCTCTCAGTCTTCCCTTCTCCAGACTAACCAGCCCCATTTCCTGCATTTCTCCTCATCAGAGAGATGCTCCAGACCCCTCATCGTCTTTGTTACCCTCCACTGGACCCTCTCCAGGAGTTCCTAGACCCTCTGGTCCTGAGGTGCCCAGAACTCCAGATGTGCCTCACCAAGGCTGAATACAAGGGGAGGATCCTTGACCTCAGCCATGTCCCACGTCCCACTATCCCCTATCCTGTTGTTCCCTATCCTGCTATCCCCTATCCCTCCATCCCCTATCCCGCTATTCCCTATCCTTCTATTCCCTACCCCACTATCCCCTACTCCACTACCCCCTATCCCTCTATCCCCTATCCCTTTATTCTCTACCCCTCTATCTTGCTATCCCCTATCCTTCTATCCCCAATCCCTCTGTTCCCTATCCCTCTATTCCCTATCCCGCTATCCCCTATCCCACTATCCCCATCCCTCTATCCCCTGTCCCTGTT